TCTTTCAAGCAGACAAGATCCTCATTCAGAATCCGGCAGGTACAGGTTTTAGACCCTCATCCCATGTGTACTGTTCGGACTGATGTCCACCCGGGAATGACAGGGTGTTTTTTTTCCTGGGGTGGAATCGCCAATAGATGTCATAGCTGCAGTCCCCTTGATTGAGCGAGTTCCAAACTACCTATGTTTAGGGTGGCGCCTCCATGCAGAATAGAGGTGCCCCCTTACTATATCTGATAATCTCAGGGTTTTGGTCATGAGATCAATCAGCAGTTTGGAGCTCCAGGCAGTGTTCCTAGCTATCCGTCACTGGGCGCATTGTCTCCCAGGCAACCCGATTGTTGTGTGGTTTAACAAGAGTTTGACCGGGTTACTGTTTCCAGAAGTTCCGTCTGTTTTCCAGTAATAGCCGACACCCATGTCTGTCTGAGAACTCAGCATATTCCTGGGTGCGGTACCTTAGCGGACGCTATATCAGGATCTGACAGAGTCGCTTTCACAAACTGAATGCTACACAAAGAGATACCGGTTTATGCGTCTCTGTCTCCGGATGGTCAGCCTGGGCAGCAGATGGCTTAAGCCTTTCCTGGGGGAGCTACATGCAAAATACGTGTCCTCCAAATGTTTTTTCGTCCCAATCAAGAACTAACAACTTGACTTTGACTATATTTAGTCGGTCCCAGATGACCAACCAGAGGTTGGTTTCTGATTAGAAGCAGTCTATAGTGTCCAGTGCCCCGCTTCAACTAGCCAGATGGGGAAACATCCTACAGTGTATCCTCATCCCAAGCCAGAACGGTTCAATTAACACACTTCATCTGCAGGCGGCATTATGCGCCAATTACTTTTCAACCAGAGCATTGTTACTGCATTGCTGATGAACAGTTTCCCTGCTGTATTTTTAGACGGAAGACCACCTGCCAGGATCTCAACATGGTCCTGGACCACCTACTCATAGTGTCTTACAAGTCACTCACGAACACTTCCCTTGCAGACTTGCACAGCGATAGCGACAAGAATCATCCTTTTGGTGCGCTTGGTGTTAATTGGATCCAGTTTGAACGGCGCAGTCATGGTTCTGTACCTCTGGGCATTTTATGGGTATTTCATCACTACACACACGTTACCAGCTAGGGCGAAATAATCAACGGTTCTCTATTTCGCCCTTATTGTCTGTTGTCGGCGTGAAGACGTTCCTGTGTTCCTCTTCTGTTCAGCTGGTGTACTCAGTTTGTACATTAAGCGAACTCAAGCCGTCAGAGGCATGTAAGCAAAACCCTGAGTGTTTTGTGGATACGGACTTCCATTATTCATGCGTAGAATGCGGCTGGTCTGGTTTACCCCACATCTACGCCAACCTCCAGTACTTCACACACTCTACTATAGCGCTTCACTGTAACTGTACAGTGCATTGATAATGCAAGAGTGTTTCTCGAAGTCGGACACAGTCTTCGCCAATCAGTATCCACACCATATGTGTCCAACGCTTTGGACCATTGGATAGACTCAGGTCCATGCCCTTACTGCATTCCCTAAAGCTAATAACGCTTTAAAAATCGTGTGGCCTTTTACATTTAAGCGTACATGGCTTATATGCGAATTACCACCGAGATGTAATCCCTCTCTGTCGACCAGACTTCCAGATTCCATGAAGGTGTCTTCATTCATGATATTTCTTCCCACGAGGCATGACGTCGCCGTGTGGGAAAAGAGGTGTTACATGTGAAACAACTCTTTGCCTGTCTGTCCGATAAATGTGCAGGAAGTAAGTAGTGCAGGATTAGTTAAGAAATTTATCCTGCACTACTTATGATAAGGGCCCACCCTGCGCTTTCAGCTACCTCCCCTCTTTGTTTTCATCTGTGGGATTTACGGCAATAATCAGAGGTGGCTGACGTCACCTTCCGGTAGATGGATGTTTACCCGAGACCAGGAAGTGATCACATTCTACACTGTCAACATCAATCGTCTGGCACAGCCACGTTTCAAGTCGTAAGCAATAAGTGCAGGAAGTAAGTAGTGCCGGATAAGTATACAAATAAATATAAAAAAATATTTAGATTTGACTAAACTCACTCACTCACTTTCAGCCACGCACCAGCCCAGCAGAGCTTATTCTGGAATTCCACCATAATGATGATCATCTTGTCAGTTGCTGTCTTGCAGGTGATGCTGATTGCTAGTGACACATTCTTCTTACTGGTTGGCCTTCAATTGTATCGACTGTCAATATTCATCTCGCATTCCTCAGTACCTGTTTCTATGAACTTCCTACAATAATTCCACCTTTTCAGCCATCTCCTGGGTGTTCAGTTCAGGTACAGCCTCACACCTTGTTGGAGGTCTGCGTACTGTTCCTGTGTGGGGGTGGAATGTCCATGTTGGCCATCAGTAACCTCGCTCTTGTATTCCTATAGGTGTGTCTTGTAGACATGTCCGTTGTTAGGTGCTGCTGGGATTGGTCCAGGTTTACCGGTCTAAAGTTTAGGTACTACAAAGTATTAGTACCACACATATCACCTATCAGTGATATTTTCCTGCATGCTCCACATAATATCACCGTGGCCATCTGCAGCTGAGGGTCATCGCAGTCAGTGGATGTTGAACAATGCAGTCGTAGAGCTGTGTTCCACGTTTCAGCCACCGTTTTCATTGTCGAGTAGTTGTATACCCTCCAAATCATCTTTTTGGCTCTTGTTTCAGGTCGTGCTTGCTGAGGTAGAGATGCCATCACAGCCAGGAGTCGACAGCCCAGTGTCATTTCAACCTTAACAAGTGAGAAGTCTTTAGCACTCATCCTGGTCAGTGCTGGGTATCTGGGGTAGCACTTTTGACACGTTAGATTCAAGGAGAGTGGCCCTTACTACAGTGTAACTTGATTCTCTTGCGTTCTCCTTTTATCGTGATTTTATCGCAGAGAACCAGTGAATTCTGACATGATGATGATGATGATGATGATGATGATTTGTAGTGCTGGAGCGATTAATTGTAGGATCTGTTACTCGCTCGATCTAAGTCAAAATAAACAATTTCAATTACAAATAAACTGCAGATTGATAATCCGAAATAATCATTATTTTGATGCACATACATTAAAACGTTTTATTCTACCTAGTCATGATTTCTTTTACCCAACAATCTGGTCGTCATTGCTTGTTTACTTCTAAAACGGATGCTGTGTACTACACAGGTGTCGCATGCCTCCCCTGTCAGCCAATGGCAATGCTAGATATATATAGATTGGGGTGTCCTATTTTGTCATTGAAATACTACAAGTTCTAAAGTGGTTTATAGAAATTCATTAATATTCATGAGCAAACTGTGCCAACCTCATTCATCCAATCATGCAACAACACATCACAATATGACCCAGGTATTACAGGTTAGCTATTTTCTAATTGGCTGAAAGAGGGAATATCTTGAGTTGCATTTGCATACAAACACGTGACTTTTGTAAAGCGGGTAACATAGAGCTATTTTGGGTTTCATGAATTCTCTTGAACTTTCAATACAATGCTTAATTATAAAACTTCACAGAATAAATTTTGTGTTTCAACATTAAGGAAACGTCTTTGTTCACCCTTCAACATCAACACAAGACAGAAAAAAAGTTTTTTTAAAAATGGCATGCCATGAAAATAAATCTATCAGCGAAGGTCACAAGTAGTAGCGTGATCTTGTAAGGTGGGATGTCAACTAAGCAGACGAAAAATTAATGGCATCTTTGGAGTAAAGATTTAGGATTTTTGTGCATTTGATTATGAGGTAGATATTGCATTAAGGATCCCTGAGTTAAAATTAATCTTTTCTGGGTTTTTTATGCTGTTGCCTACGCATAGAAACTTGATTCGTAGCATATTGATGTCAGACCAATAGTGGGGATCACTTTGTTGTCATTCGGGATGGTTCTCATGGAGTTTCTCGCATATTACGACCGGAAACGTAAGACGATAGGATACTTGATGAACCAAAGACTGTGCAACCCGGAAGTTAGTTCACTTGATTCGTAGCTCATGATGTCAGACCGATAGTGGGGATCACTTTGTTGTCATTCGGGATGGTTCTCATGGATGTTCTCGCATATTACGACCGGAAACGTAAGACGATAGGATACTTGATGAACCAAAGACTGTGCAACCCGGAAGTTAGTTCACTTGATTCGTAGCTCATGATGTCAGACCGATAGTGGGGATCACTTTGTTGTCATTCGGGATGGTTCTCATGGATGTTCTCGCATATTACGACCGGAAACGTAAGACGATAGGATACTTGATGAACCAAAGACTGTGCAACCCGGAAGTTAGTTCACTTGATTCGTAGGCTCATGATGTCAGACCGATAGTGGGGATCACTTTGTTGTCATTCGGGATGGTTCTCATGGATGTTCTCGCATATTACGACTGGAAACGTAAGACGATAGGATACTTGATGAACCAAAGACTGTGCAACCCGGAAGTTAGTTCACTTGATTCGTAGCTCATGATGTCAGACCGATAGTGGGGATCACTTTGTTGTCATTCGGGATGGTTCTCATGGAGTTTCTCGCAGATATTACGACCCGGAAACGTTAAGACGATAGGATACTTGATGAACCAAAGACTGTGCAACCGGAAGTTAGTTCACTTGATTCAGTAGCTCATGATGTCAGACCGATAGTGGGGATCACTTTGTTGTCATTCGATGGTTCTCGTAGCATGGATGTTCTCATTGGGGATATTACGACCGGAAACGTAAAGGCGATAGGATACTTGATGAACCAAAGACTGTGCAACCGGAAGTTAGTTCACTTGATTCGTAGCTCATGATGTCAGACCGATAGTGGGGATCACTTTGTTGTCATTAGGGATGGTTCTCATGGATGTTCTCGCATATATTACTGGCAACGTAAAGACGATAGGATACTTGATGAACCAAAGACTGTGCAACCCGGAAGTTAGTTCACTTGATTCGTAGCTCATGATGTCAGACCGATAGTGGGGATCACTTTGTTGTCATTCGGGATGGTTCTCATGGAGTTTCTCGCATATTACGACCAGAAACGTAAGACGATAGGATACTTGATGAACCAAAGACTGTGCAACCTGGAAGTTAGTTCACTTGATTCGTAGCTCATGATGTCAGACCGATAGTGGGGATCACTTTGTTGTCATTCGGGATGGTTCGCATGGATGTTCTCGCATATTACGACCGGAAACGTAAGACGATAGGATACTTGATGAACCAAAGACTGTGCAACCCGGTAGTTAGTTCATTTGATTCGTAGGATATTGATGTCAGACCGATAGTGGGGATCACTTTGTTGTCATTCGGGATGGTTCTCATGGAGTTTCTCGCATATTACGACCGGAAACGTTAGACGATAGGATACTTGATGAACCAAAGACTGTGCAACCCGGAAGTTAGTTCACTAACGTAGTTATTTGACAATGAAATGACCATCCAAACAATTATAATCGATCAATTATCGATCAGACACTAGCGATTATCGATCGGACAAAATGTAACGATAACCAGCTCTAATAATTTGGACATTTTACATACCCTCTGTGACAAGATATGTATTTCTCATAGCCATTTAGTGTTTGATTGAAAGAGGAGCAATTGTAACTGAAAGTAAGGTCAGACACCCCACCCCACCCCACCCACACCATTTACACCACCCTTAAGTGTTACATGACCTGAAATAGAAATAGGAAGATATAGTGTGTTGTTTTAATGCCATTTTCAGTCTGTGACAGTTTATGGGATGACATTGTATTAACCTCAGCTTATCAAGCCTATGACAGACACCCATTACCACCTGTTGTCTATATGGAGTTTGACCCAGGTGACACACCCTCCCCCAGATGCAGTTCCCCCCGGTGACACACCCTACCCCAGATGACAGACCCCCATAAGGTGACCCATGTAGATACCCCCAGGTGACACTCCCCCCAGATGACAGACCTCCCAGGTGACACCTCCCCCCATATATGACAACCCCCAGGTGACATCCCAGATGACAGACCCCCAGGTGACACACCCTCCCCCAGATGACAGACCCCATAAGGTGACCCATTTAGATATACCCATGTGACACACCTTCCCCAGATGACAGACCCCCAGGTGACACACCTCCCCAGATGACAGCCCCCATAAGATGACCCATGTAGATACTACCCAGGTGGCACACCCTCCCCAGATGACAGACCCACCAGGTGACAGACCCTCCCCAGATGACAGACCCCCATAAGGTGACCCATGTAGATCTACCCAGGTGACACACCCTCCCCAGATGACAGACCCCAGATGACACACCCCCCCTGATGACAGACCCCCAGGTGACACACCTCCCCAGATTGACAGACCCCCAGGTGCCACACCCTCCCCAGATGAGAGAGACCCCCAGGTGACACACCCTCCCCAGATGAGAGATTCCCCATAAGGTGACCCATGTAGATATACCCATGTGACACACCCTCCCCCAGATGACAGACCCCCAGGTGACAGACCCTCCCTAGATGACAGACCCCCGGTGATGCACCTTCCCAGATAGCAGATCCCGAGGTGACACACCCTATCCCAGATAACAAATCCCCATAAGGTGTCCCATGTAGATACCCCCAGGTGACACACCCTCCCCCAGATGACAGACCCCCATAAGGTGACCCATGTAGATATACCCATGTGACACACCTTCCCCAGATGACAGACCCTCCAGGTGACACACACTCCCCCAGATGACAGACCCCCATAAGGTGACCCATGTAGATACACCCATGTGACACACCTTCCCAGATGACAGACCCCCAGGTGACACACACCTCCCCCAGATGACAGGCCCCCATTAAGGTGACCCATGTAGATATACCCATGTGACACACCTTCCCCAGATGACAGACCCCCAGGTGACACACCCTTCCCCAGATGACAGACCCCCATAAGGTGTTCCATGTAGATACCCCCAGGTGACACACCCTCCCAAGATGACAGACCCCATAAGGTGTCCCATGTAGATCTACCCAGGTGACACACCTTCCCCAGATGACACACCTCCCAGGTGACACACCCTAACCCAGATGACAGACCCCCAGGTGACACAATATCCCCAGATGACAGACCCCATAAGGTGACCCATGTAGATCTACCCAGGTGACACACCTCCCTAGATGACAGACCCCCCAGATGACGACCTTCCCCAGATAGCAGATCCCCGGTGACACACCCTACCCCAGATAACAAACCCCCATAAGGTGTCCCATGTAGATACCCCCAGGTGACACACCCTCCCCAGATGACACACCTCCCAGATGACACACCCTTCCCCATATTTGACAAAAAAAACAACCCAGGTGACACCTTTCCCAGATGACAGACCCCCATAAGGGTTCCCCATGTAGATACCCCCCAGGTGACCGCCCTTCCCAGATGACAGACTCCCAGGTGACACCCTCCCATATATGACAACCCTCCAGGTGACACACAGATCCCAGATGACAGACCCCAGGTGACACACCCTCCCCAGATGACAGACCCCATAAGGTGACCCATTTAGATATACCCATGTGACACACCTTCCCCAGATGACAGACCCCCATAAGATGACCCATGTAGATCTACCCAGGTGACACACCTGCCCAGATGACAGACCCACCAGGTGACACACCTCAGCCAGATGACAGACCCACCAGGTGACAGACCCTCCCCAGATGACAGATCCCCATAAGGTGACCCATGTAGATCTACCCAGGTGACACACCCTCCCCCAGATGACAGACGCCTCCAGATGACACACCCTCCTGATGACAGACCCCCAGGTGACACACCTCCCCAGATTGACAGACCCCCAGGTGACACACCCTCCCCAGATGAGACACCCCCAGGTGACACACCCTCCCCCAGATGACAGACCCCCCATGTGACACACCCTCCCCAGATGACAGAACCCCAGGTGACACACACCTTGCCCAGGTGACAGACCCCCATCCAGGTGACCATTAAGATCCCTGGGTAAACCCCTTTAAAAGCCCCAAAATCGATACTAATTTGCATACACTTGTCTTCAGTGAGACCCTGAATGATGCACTTTAAAAACATATTTGTACTGTGTTGTATTTTTTATGCAATGATTGGTATCTGGTACACATGGCACCATTTTGAATTTTGACACGATTTAACGCCATTTTGGTCTGTGTGGAAAAATTTGAATACTGAAGTAAGTAGACGAAGAGAGTGTATTTGTTTTAATTTAATCATCAGTGATGTGGATTTTAGTTTACTCTGCTTCAAGTTTGTGACTCTCTAAGAATGGTTGAGTGTTACTGTGTATATAGCTTTGACTAACAGGGTGTCTCAAGTATGACTTGTAGAGCTTCAAGTTTGTGACTCTCTAAGAATGGTTGAGTGTACTGTGTATATAGATTCGACTAACAGGGTGTCTCAAGTATGACTTGTAGAGCTTGTGACAGTCTCTTGGAATGGTTAACCCTGTATAGACACCAAATGAACACCAGCTTGGGTAGATTACAGGCTCGTTTGTGTATGTTCAATAGAGAGGCTTTTTATAGTTGATGCCTTGTCCATCTGTCCATCCATCCATCCGTCCGTCTGTAAGAGGCTTTTCTGGAAATGGTCAATAGGTGGTCAAATAGACTGTGTTCAATCACCAGATGGATACAAGCATGGGTAGATTACAGGGTGTTTTCAGGGTGGTTTGTGTATCTTCAGTAGGGAGGCTTTTCTGGAAATGGTCAATAGGTGGTCAAATAGACTGTGTTCAATCACCAGATGGATACAAGCATGGGTAGATTACAGGGTGTTTTCAGGGTGGTTTGTGTATCTTCAGTAGAGAGGCTTTTCTGGAAATGGTCAAGTGGTGGTCAAATAGACTGTGTTCAATCACCAGATGGATACAAGCATGGGTAGATTACAGGGTGTTTTCAGGGTGGTTTGTGTATCTTCAGTAGAGAGGCTTTTCTGGAAATGGTCAAGGACTGGTGAAAGTGAGTGCAATATTCCAGCTATATGGCGGCGGTCTGTAAATAATGGAATCTGGATCAGACAGTCCAGTGATCAACAGCATGAGCATCGATCTACGCAATTGGGAACCGATGACATATGTCAACCAAGTCAGCGAGCCTGACCACCAGATCCTGTTAGTCGTCTCATACCACAAGCATGAGTTACTGAAGGCACATTCTAACCCGGACCTTCACAGGTTGGTGGTCAAAGAGACTGCAGGGCTCGATTTAGTGCTTTGCTACTTACTACAGCAATGGTGCAACCCAAGATTACAAAGTGCAACCTAGTAATTAGTCTAATTTGCACCAGGTGCAGGCAAATTTTTTAGAAGTAAATCAACAATAAATCTAACATTATAAGCATAAATATGTCATCACATTTTTCTACTAAACTATAAATAGCTATGGCACGGAAACATTGCTATTTATAGACACCTCTCGGCTATTTGCCACGTGTCAAAAGTATGATAAAAGCGGAAGAAGTAATTCTTTTAGGAGTGGGTGCAAGTCTATAAGATTAAGTGTGATAGAATTCCAACAAACTCGTGAGGCTCACCTCTCATCTGAGGCCCATGAACTAACACAAATGTGCAGTTTTGTCATTATAAATAATAATAATAAAATGCAGATTTCTTCATGCGCCTTTTCCACGTCAGCAGATATGCTCAAGGCGCAACAATGACAGATTAAAAGTCTCCCAGATTTATACAGCAATATGTACACGTCCAAAATAGAGTTCCTAATAATACATTGAAAACAGGTATGTTTTGAGTCCTGACTTGAATGTGGCAATACTATCAGAAACTTTCAGTTTGTATGCTAGTGAATTCCACAAGGTTGGGGCTGCATATGAAAAGTCCGGTTTCCAAAAGTTTTAAGCTTGAAGTTTGGCACGAACAGAAACTCCTGATTGGATTATCGAAGGCAGCGCTTGTTTGAGTAAGGAGTAAACAGGTCAGAGAGATATGGGGGAGCAAGTCCGTGTCGGGCCATGTAGGTCAAGCAGAGGATTTTGTAGTCGCTTCTTGCCTTGATGGGGGAGCCAGTGCAACTGTTTAAGAACAGGTGTGATGTGGCCATGTTTGGGAATCTGACTGATAATCGCGGCGGCCGTGTTCTGCACCTTCTGTAACTTATCCAATAGCCTCTGACTGATCCCAAACAACAAGCTGTTGCAGTAAGTCGAGCCTTGAAATCACAAGCTCGGACTAAGGCATGGGTGGCTTCAGCTGTAAGATATTGACGGATGTTGCTGATGGAGCCAAGATGGAAATAGCAAGTCTTACAGATGTTGTTCACCTGTGTTTCCATTGACAGTGATGTATCAAAGTATATGCCTAGATCTTTGACAGATGAGCTTATAGGAACAACTGCATCGGGCGATGGTTAGGTTCTTAATGGGACATCTTGAAATTTGGTGACTTGTTCCTACCAGAAGTGCCTCAGTCTTCGTGTGTCATTGAGTTTAAGCATATGAGTTGTCATCCAGGACTTGATTTCCTGTGCAGTTTGTGAGTTCTTGAAGTGACTGATTTAGATTTTGCAGTGGTATTTTCTTGAGGAGTTGGGTGTCATCTGCGTAAGAGTGATGCGACATGTTGTGGACTGATGTGATGTTGGCAACATGACCAGTATACAGCAGGAACAGCAACGGTCCCAAAACAGATCCCTGTGGTACTCCATGTTTGAGAGTAATGCTGTCAGATCTGTCTTTCCCTATCATTACACACTGCCGTCTGTCACAGAGATAGGAGCTTATCCAGTTCAGTACTATGCCGTCAATTCCATACTGGGTTTTCAGCAGATTTAAAAGGATACTATGGTCTATGGTATCAAATTCATTGAGAAAGACAGCTCTTAAATTGCAGGAAAATCAAGTCGACACCATGAAGATTTCATTCATGGTAGCATACTGGATAGCAAAAAATGAAAAAACATTTTCAGATTTCCCCCTAAATGCTTGAACTTTTAGAAATACTTGGAATTGATTCAGGCAAGACATAAGCAAATGACGGGAAGGCGAGAGAAGTTATTGGCCTAATCAGTGAATCTTTTCGTTAGGAAATTGCTGGAGAACTTCAGACAGCTGAATTGTTTTCAGTTTTATGTTATTAATTAACGGACTGCAGTGTTTTGGAACAAGAAATCATGTGTGTGAGATGCCCCAAACTGTGTTTGTGTGTGCATCAAATGTGGAAAGAGGGTAAATTTCTAAATTAAACATCTAAATAATTCAATAGCATATTTCTTTCAGTACATATTGCAATATATACTGAACAACATTAGAAACGCACCACACTAAAATGCACCGATGATGCTCAGATATCATGGGTATATTTCAGTCTGACGAGGATATTTTCGTATTATATGGGTGGTGCGATTCTAAATGAGATGAATACTAGCATTGGTAGATTACAGGGTGGATTGTGTATCTTCAGTTGAGAGGCTTTTCTGGAAATGGTTAAGTGGTGATCAAAGAGACTGTATGCAGTCACCAGATGGGTAGTAACATGGGTAGATTACAGGATGTCTTCATGGTAGTTTGAGTATCTTGTACAGTAGTCAAATAGACTGTACAGTCACCAGATGGGTAGTAACATGGGTAGAATACAGGGTGTCTTCAGGGTGGTTTGTGTATCTTGTACAGTAGTCAAATAGGCCGTACAGTCACCAGATGGATACAAGCATGGGCAGAATACAGGGTGTCTTCAGGGTGGTTTGTGTATCTTGTACAGTAGTCAAATAGGCCGTACAGTCACCAGATGGGTAGTAACATGGGCAGAATACAGGGTGTCTTCAGGGTGGTTTGTGTATCTTGTACAGTAGTCAAATAGGCCGTACAGTCACCAGATGGATACAAGCATGGGCAGAATACAGGGTGTCTTCAGGGTGGTTTGTGTATCTTGTACAGTAGTCAAATAGGCCGTACAGTCACCAGATGGGTAGTAACATGGGCAGAATACAGGGTGTCTTCAGGGTGGTTTGTGTATCTTGTACAGTAATCAAATAGACCATACAGTCACCAGATGGGTAGTAACATGGGCAGAATACAGGGTGTCTTCATGGTAGTTTGTGTATCTTGTACAGTAGTCAAATAGGCCGTACAGTCACCAGATGGGTAGTAACATGGGTAGAATACAGGGTGTCTTCAGGGTGGTTTGTGTATCTCTTACAGTAGTCAAATAGGCCGTACAATCATCAGATGGATACAAGCATGGGCAGAATAATTGGGGTGTCTTCAGGGTGGTTTGTGTATCTCTTACAGTAGTCAAATAGGCCGTACAGTCACCAGATGGATACAAGCATGGGCAGAATACAGGGTGTCTTCATGGTAGTTTGTGTATCTTGTACAGTAGTCAAATAGGCCGTACAGTCATCAGATGGATAGTAACATGGGTAGAATACAGGGTGTCTTCAGGGTAGTTTGTGTATCTCTTACAGTAGTCAAATAGGCCAGTACAGTCACCAGATGGATACAAGCATGGGCAGAATACAGGGTGTCTTCAGGGTGGTTTGTGTATCTTGTACAGTAGTCAAATAGGCCGTACTGTCACCAGATGGGTAGTAACATGGGCAGAATACAGGGTGTCTTCAGGGTGGTTTGTGTATCTCTTACAGTAGTCAAATAGGCCGTACAGTCACCAGATGGATAGTAACATGGGTAGAATACAGGGTGTCTTCAGGGTGGTTTGTGTATCTTGTACAGTATTCAAATAGGCCGTACAGTCACCAGATGGATACAAGCATGGGCAGAATACAGGGTGTCTTCAGGGTGGTTTGTGTATCTTGTACAGTAGTCAAATAGGCCGTACAGTCACCAGATGGATACAAGCATGGGCAGAATACAGGGTGTCTTCAGGGTGGTTTGTGTATCTCTTACAGTAGTCAAATAGGCCGTACAGTCACCAGATGGATACAAGCATTGGCAGAATACAGGTGTGTCTTCAGGGTGGTTTGTGTATCTTGTACAGTAGTCAAATAGGCCGTACAGTCACCAGATGGATACAAGCATTGGCAGAATACAGGGTGTCTTCAGGGTGGTTTGTGTATCTCTTACAGTAGTCAAATAGGCCGTGCAGTCACCAGATGGATACAAGCATGGGCAGAATACAGGGTGTCTTCAGGGTGGTTTGTGTATCTCTTACAGTAGTCAAATAGGCCGTACAGTCAACCAGATGGATACAAGCATGGGCAGAATACAGGGTGTCTTCAGGGTGGTTTGTGTATCTCTTACAGTAGTCAAATAGGCCGTACAGTCACCAGATGGATACAAGCATGGGCAGAATACAGGGTGTCTTCAGGGTGGTTTGTGTATCTTCAGTATTTAGGCTTTTCTGGAAATGGTCAAGTGGTGGTCAAAGGGACACCCCCAGTTCCCCCATTGAGCTTTCAGGTGACCATGTAGATCTACCCAGGTAATACATCCTGCCCTCAGGTGACAGACACCCCCAACCCCTCAATCCCCTTTCAGGTGACCATGTAGATCTACCCAGGTAATACATCCTGCCCCAAGGTGGCAGACACCCCCAACCCCTCAATCCCCTTTCAGGTGACCATGTAGATCTACCCAGGTAATACATCCTGCCCCCAGGTTGCAGACACCCCCTCCTGAGTCCCCCCCCACTGCCCTTTCGGGTGGCCATGTAGATTCACCCAGGGAATACATCCTGCCCCCAGGTGGCAGACACCCCAACCCCCCAACCCCTTTCAGATGACCATGTCCCTTCACCCAGGTAATACATCCTGCCCCCAGGTTGCAGACACCCCCAACCCCCAACCCCTTTCAGATGACCATGTCCCTTCACCCAGGAATACATCCTGCCCCCAGGTTGCAGACACCCCCAACCCCCACTGCCCTTTCAGATGACCATGTCGATTCACCCAGGTAATACATCCTGCCCCCAGGTGGCAGACACCCCCAACCCCCAACCCCTTTCAGATGACCATGTGTCCTTCACCCAGGTAATACATCCTGCCCCCAGGTTGCGGACACCCCCAACCCCCAACCCCTTTCAGATGACCATGTCCCTTCACCCAGGTAATACATCCTGCCCCTCAGGTGACAGACACCCCCAACCCCTCAATCCCCTTTCAGATGACCATGTCGATTCACCCAGGGAATACATCCTGCCCTCAGGTGACAGACACCCCCTCCTGAGTCCCCCCCACTGCTCCTTTCAGGTGACCATGTCCCTTCACCCAGGGAATACATCCTGTCCCCAGGTGGCAGACACCCCCAACCCCTTTCAGATGACCATGTCCCTTCTCCCAGGTAATACATCCTGCCCCCAGGTTGCAGACACCCCCAACCCCCAATCCCCTTTCAGATGACCATGTCCATTCACCCAGGTAATACATCCTGCCCCCCAGGCGACAGACACCCCTAACCCCCCACTGCCCTTTTCAGATGACCATGTCCCTTCACCCAGGTAATACATCCTGCCCCCAGGTGGCAGACACCCCCAACCCCCCAATCCCCTTTCAGATGACCATGTCCATTCACCCAGGTAATACATCCTGCCCCCAGGCGACAGACACCCCCAACCCCCACTGCCCTTTCAGATGACCATGTCCCTTCACCCAGGTAATACATCCTGCCCCCAGGTGGCAGACACCCCCAACCCCCAATCCCCTTTCAGATGACCATGTCCTTCACCCAGGTAATACATCCTGCCCCCAGGCGACAGACACCCCAACCCCAACTGCCCTTTCAGATGACCATGTCCCTTCACCCAGGTAATACATCCTGCCCCCAGGTTATGGACACCCCAACCCCCCAACCCTTTTCAGATGACCATGTCCCTTCACCCAGGTAATACATCCTGCCCTCAGGTGACAGACACCCCCAACCCTCAATCCCCTTTCAGATGACCATGTCGATTCACCAGGGAATACATCCTGCCCTCAGGTGACAGACACCCCTCCTGAGTCCCCCACTGCCCTTTCAGGTGGCCATGTCCCTTCACCCAGGGAATACATCCTGTCCCCAGGTGGCAGACACCCCCAACCCCTTTCAGATGACCATGTCCCTTCTCCCAGGTAATACATCCTGCCCCCAGGTTGCAGACACCCCCAACCCCCAATCCCCTTTCAGATGACCATGTCCATTCACCCAGGTAATACATCCTGCCCCCAGGCGACAGACACCCCTAACCCCCCACTGCCCTTTCAGATGACCATGTCCCTTCACCCAGGTAATACATCCTGCCCCCAGGTGGCAGACACCCCCAACCCCCAATCCCTTTCAGATGACCATGTCCATTCACCCAGGTAATACATCCTGCCCCCAGGCGACAGACACCCCAACCCCCACTGCCCTTTCAGATGACCATGTCCCTTCACCCAGGTAATACATCCTGCCCCAGGTGGCAGACACCCCCAACCCCCCAATCCCTTTCAGATGACCATGTCCCTTCACCCAGGTAATACATCCTGCCCCAGGCTTACAGACACCCCAACCCCCACTGCCCTTTCAGATGACCATGTCCCTTCACCCAGGTAATACATCCTGCCCCCAGGTTGCAGACATTCCCCCAACCCCCACTGCCCTTTCAGATGACCATGTCCCTTCACCCAGGTAATACATCCTGCCCCAGGCGACAGACACCCCAACCCCCACTGCCCTTTCAGATGACCATGTCCCTTCACCCAGGTAATACATCCTGCCCCCCAGGCTGCACAGACACACCCCCAACCCCCACTGCCCTTTCAGATGACCATGTCCCTTCACCCAGGTAATACATCCTGCCCCCCAGGCGCACAGACACCCCCAACCCCCACTGCCCTTTCAGATGACAATGTCCCTTCACCCAGGTAATACATCCTGCCCCCAGGCGACAGACACCCCCAAGTGCCCCCACTGCCATTTCAGGTGGCTATGTAGATTCACCCATGTAATACATCCTACCCTCAGGTGACAGACGTCTCCCAGTCCCCCCACTGTCCTTTCAGATGACCATGTAGATTCACCCAGGTAATACATCCTGCCCCCAGGTGGCAGACACCCCCAACCCCCTACTGTCCTTTCAGATGACCATGTAGATTCACCCAGGTAATACATCCTGCCCCCAGGCTACAGACACCCCCAAGTCCCCCCACTGCCATTTCAGGTGGCTATGTAGATTCACCCAGGTAATACATCCTACCCTCAGGTGACAGACACCCTATCCCAATATTTCGAATGAAGCGTTGTTGTGATTATGTATTGGAAACTGACAACTGCATTTCAAGTTTTGATGATTATCCAACTGCGTAAACAACACAGATGTACATTTCCTGAGAAATTCTATTTGACAAGAGGAAGGGCATAGATTGTTAACTGTCATCGTGCGGAATATGTGAAGCCCTCCACGCATGGTTATCTGTTCGTTACACTATTCGAAGAAGTGCTATGAAAGAAACCTAACCTCTGGCGAAATATGGATACGAATAGGCAAAACTTAAACTTTAATAAAGATGCTACATATCGGGCATTCCTTTCGACATTCCAAACAAACACACAGGCCGAAATGTCAACTTGGGACTGAGACCGAGAGAGTTGCATTCCATAGGTGACGTTGGTTGCAGGTGAGTTTTAAGATGTACAGGCATCCCTTGCCATAACGCGGGTCTTGGGGTCCATGGATGACCCCCCGCATTATTAGACACCCGCGTTATAAGTAACGATTACATAACGCGGAACAAAGGCCAAGTAAAATCGTATTTTCCATGGACATAACAAAACTGCTATTTCGTGTATTGTGCCCAGTCAAAACTATATCGTATTGTTGGAGGTGAAAAAAACAACAACTTTGTAAATAAAAAATATATGTATGTACATGAAATTTGCAATCAAACATCACAAGACATGATAATTCAATTGTTGTTCCTGTCATGCTACCTGTTATTCAACTAAGCCAGAAATAGCAATCAGCTGGGCACACATCGATGTTTTGGTCCAATGTACCGGTGATTCAGTTAAAAACGATCCGAAAATATAACATCCATGAATTTCTATTCCATTATCAGAATAATTTATATGTCAAGCAGTTATTCTAACAGAGATCCTATATATTGCTATCGTATAAGTATTATGCATGTTTTCTACGATGATATTTAACAAAATAATAAGCATTGCTAAGCACTTTGGGTTACCTGGCTGGATACATTTTATGTAGGAGACAGTTTGACAAGTCACCGCTGACTTCCCGCGGTACGTGCCACTTTGATTGTAAAAACAAAATGTTGGCAATTAATTGTCAAGTATGACTTCAATGAGTCAATAACGAGGGTCTTGGGGTCAATGGATGACAAGGCTGTAATCTGTTCGTGATTGCTGAGAAAATTGTGAAATTGGTTCTATCATCGCGTAGGCTAAAAACGGACCCTCACGAATGTGGTAAGCGGGTGTTGTATGGAATGAGGTAATGCCATTTCACTCACGGTTTCTCAGTTGTTATTGTAAACAATTTTAATGAATGAAAATGGGATTGAATTTTATCAAATAAAATGTGTTTTCTGACATCATACATTCTCGGATGGCGGTGTTTACCCGCGCAATTACGCTGTGTGTTGCATCATAGCAAATGTTGTAAGTACTCGGCTGATAATTGACATGTCTTTATGATCAAAGTTATTACGATGTTTCGCTGTTCATCAATTATTATTGAAAAAGACCCTGCATGTTTTAAGCATCTGAAAAACCATGGATATGTACGATAAACACTGTAAATTGCAATCAGCACTGAATTTCACTACTTTACAACGTGATTAACCAGAGCTCAAGAGCGGATTTGTTGATGTGATATTTTCGATGACGTGAATATGTGTGATCACTGGGCAATGTTTTGTATGGGAGCAACGGATTACCCTGCGGTTTAACCGAATCCGCGGTATCGCGAAGAGCGTTATTGCGAGGGATTACTGTAGTTGTTTTGGAGCAACATGAACACTCCAGTAGCTAGCTGTATAAAAGTATGTCATAATTTGCGCTCATGTCCTATTTTCGATCAGAGATCTATTTTCACCGCCACTGTTACTGTTACTCAGTAGGGCCAAGTCATCTATTTCCCGAGATGGGTGTGTTGTGGTGTGAGTGTGTGTGGAGGGATTGGGATGGGGGTGTTCATGGACAAATGAGAACTTGCAACATATGGGTGCGGTGGTGAGAGAGCACATAATATTTAAAACATAATTAAAAATAAGTCATATCAGATAATTATCCACCAGGGACTGGTCCCTTACCATGTTAAAATGGTATGTGAATTGTGTGTGTGCGTGGGAAAATCAGGGAAATATGTTCATTCAGATAATGTATTTCTTTGTGGGTTTTGTTTTTGGCAAATGTAAAAATGCCACTTTAATGCTATTTTTTAGGATGTACATGGCACCATTTCACATCAATGAAAACAGCCTAAATACCCTAGAATCAGCTACTCCCTAGGCCTAAACAAAGAGGCCAAGCCAGTGAACAAGAAACCAACACGTGGTGAATATAATGCAGACAATCAATAATTTTTTGTTGAACTGGTGCACTCCAGTTTGAAAAAAACCCCATTACTATTACATCCTATTACTGCATGTTTTCCCCTAACTAATGAGTCAAGTCTTGTTTGCAAAGACACTGGTTTTTAATCCTCATGTCTATTTTCCCTCTCAGCATTTGTTAAGACAAAGGTACTTCCTTTTTTAGAGCAGATTTCGAAGAAAAATTATTATTATGGTTGCCAAAAAAAATATTCCTTCCTACAGACTTGCAGAATGCAACAGCCTATTTTTCTAGGATATTCTGCCAGACACTTTCATTTATAACTAGTAAACAGGAACTGGTGAATTCACTGACATCAAGATATAAAATGAAATCATGTATATGTGTCTAGGGTGTGAACTGAAACCAGTTGTGCCTGATGTCTTAAGGTCTATTGTATTCGTCTGTTTGAACCCCTTGGACTAGTTCAGATGGTAAATGTTTCCAAATTGCAGTCACCACTGTGACACATGGTGTTATTGGAGAGCAATCTTGTTTTCTTAGGCTTTTACCAGTCCATACAGTTAACTTTCACTCAAGCCTTTGCCTTCATGATGTTGGTGTACACACTGTATTCATTATTTTGACATAAACAGTTTAAAGTATGCAAATAAAATATTTGCTTTAATTTTTGTGTGCTGGTTTCTTGATTTGATCGCTGATCTTTCTTTGGGACTGATCACACTTACACTTAATTCGGTATCTAATCGGTTTTCCATGAACATGTGATAGGCAAGTGACTTCCATATCAGTCTGCAGTAGGTCGATTCAAAATGTAGTCGAGATCGGGATCATCCCACGGCTGTATGTTGTCAACTGGTGGAATCGTCGTCAATATTCCTGTCGGTCTTGCCGCTAGAAAACCTTTCAAATTGAGAAGGTTGTATGTATGTGATATTATCTGTATCTAGTATACCATCCAAATTCAGGTTTGACTTCGTGGATTGATTTATTTGCTAAACTAGAAGCAGACCTGAGTAAACGAACAGTCTCGGTACAACTGTATTTTCCGTGTGTTGATGTAGCGACTCTCGGGTATGACGTCATGCAACCACGTGACCGTCTACCTCATTATCTTGCGAATAGGCAAAATGCTTTCGAGGGACGTTCGTTTTAGATTCACAATAGAAGCTGTGTAATGTCATATTACTGTTTATAACTGTATTTTTTGTATATTATATGTATCTAAGTGTTCATTAAGATCTATTATAAACAATGTGTAGTGACCTTTTTAAAAATCCTTTAAGTCTGGGCTAGTACAAGCAGCCGCATATACACATACACGCGCATGCACATTGTCCTATGAACGAAATATTCTCAAGCATGACGTTAAACCCAATTTCACCTCACCTCACCCCACTGCCCTTTCAGGTGACCATGTCGATTCAGCCAGGTAATACATCCTGCCCTCAGGTGACAGACACCCCCAAACCCACCGATCCCCTTTCAGGTGGCCATGTAGATTTACCAAGATACTACATCATGCTCCCAGGTAACCGACACCCCCTCTCCAATTCTTTTTCGCCCCGTCCTTTCAGATGACCATGCAGATGGCCCTGTATATTCCCCCAGGTTATACATCCTTACCCAGGTGACAAACACCCCGCAGTCCCCCCAATCACCTTTCAGGTGGCCATGTAGATTCACCCACTTAATACATCCTGCCCCCAGGAGACAGACAGCCCCAGTCCCTCCACTGCCCTTTCAGGTGGCCATGTAGATTCATCCAGGTAATACATCATGCTCCCAGGTGACAGACACCCCAAGTCCCCCCAACTGCCCTTTCAGGTGGCCATGTAGATTCACCCAGGTAATACATCCTGTGCCCAGGTGACAGACATCCCCCAGTCCCCCCAACTGCCCTTTCAGGTGGCCATGTATATTCACCCAGGTAATACATTCTGTGCCCAGGTGACAGACACCCCCAGTCCCCCAACTGCCCTTTGAGGTGGCCATGTAGATTCACCCAGGTAATACATCCTGTCCCCAGGTGAAAGATATTCCAAGTCCCCCCTCTGCCCTTTCAGTTGGCCATGTATATTCACCCAGGTAATACATCCTGCCCCTAGGTGACAGACACCCCAAATCCCCCAAATCCCCCAATCCCCCAAATCCACTTTCATGTGGCCATGTAGATTCACCCAGGTAATACATCCTGCTCCCAGGTGACAGACACCCCCTCACCAGTACTCCCACTGCCCTTTCGGATCGTCCATGTAGATCTACCCAGGTAATACATCCTGCCCCCAGGTGACAGACACCCCTACCCAATCCCCCACTGCCCTTTCAGGTGGTGATGTAGATTCACCCAGGTAATACACCCTGTCCCCAGGTGACAGACAACCCCCAGTCCCCCACTGCCCTTTCAGGTGGCCATGTAGATTCATCCAGGTAATACATCCTGCCCCAGGTGAAAGATATTCCCAGTCCCCAACTGCCCTTTCAGGTGGCGATGTAGATTCATCCAGGTAATACATCCTGTGGCCAGGTGACAGACACCCCCCAGGTACTACATCATGCTCCCAGGTCACCAACACCCCCTCTCTAATCCCCCCCACTGTCCTTTCAGATGACCATCCAGATGGCCCTGTATATTCACCCAGGTAATACATCCTGACCCCAGGTGACAAACACCCCTCACTCCCCCCAATCACCTTTAAGGTGGCCATGTAGATACACCCACTTAATACATCCTGCTCCCAGGTGACAGACACCCCCAGTCCCTCCACTGCCCTTTGAGGTGGCCATGTAGATTCACCCAGGTAATACATCCTGTGCCCATCCGCCACCAGGCGGCAGACACCCCCATCCCCCCAATCCTCTTTCAGATGACCATGTACATTCACCCAGGAAAAACATCCTGACCCCAGGTGACAGACACCCCTTCTTTAATCCCCCCCACTGCCCTTTTAGGTGGCCATGTAGATCTACCCAGGTAATGCATCCTGAGCCCAGGTGACAGAAATCCACAATTCCCCCACTGCCATTTCAGATGACCATGTAGATTCACCCAGGTAATACATCCTGCCACCAGGCGGCAGACACCGCCATCCCCCCAATCCTGTTTCAGATGACCATGTACATTCACCCAGGGAAAACATCCTGACCCCAGGTGACAGACACCCCTTCTTTAATCCCCCCCACTGCCCTTTTAGGTGGCCATGTAGATTCACCCAGGTAATACATCCTGCCACCAGGCGGCAGACACCCCCATCCCCCAATCCTCTTTCAGATGACCATGTACATTCACCAAGGAAATGCATCCTGAGCCCAGGTGACAGAAATCCACAATTCCCCCACTGCCATTTCAGATGACCATGTAGATTTACCCAGGTAATACATCTTGCTCCCAGGTGACAGACATTCCCAATCCCCCCACTGCCCTTTCAGGTGGCCATGCAGATCTACCCAGGTAATTCATCCTGCTCCCAGGTAACAGACATTCCCAGTCCCCCACTGCCCTTTCAGGTGGCCATGTAGATTCATCCAGGTAATACATCATGCTCCCAGGTAACAGACATTCCAAGTCCCCCACTGCCCTTTCAGGTGGCCATGTAGATTCATCCAGGTAATACATCATGCTCCCAGGTAACAGACATTCCCAGTCCCCCACTGCCCTTTCATGTGGCCATGTAGATTCACCCAGGCAATACATCCTGTGCCCAGTAGAGCTGGGATCCCCCCCCCCCCCCAGGTCACGTGATTGTTTTTATTGATGACATCAGCTGGCAGACGAGAGAAGCAGGGGTAGATTTTGATTACAGGGTGTCTTCAAGTGTGGTTCTTGTAGCCTGAGGTTAAACAGCGTTAAAGGTATTGCCTTGAAAAGTGCAAGTGGTTGAATCAGCCATGTAGATTCACCCAGGTAATACATCCTGTGCCCAGTTGTCATACATCCCCGGGTCCCACTACTGCCCTTTGAGGTGGCCATGTAGATTCACCCAGGTAATACATCCTGTCCCCAGGTGACAGATATCCCCAAGTCCCTCCACTGCCCTTTCAGGTGACCATGTATATTCCCCAGGTAATATATCCTGACCCCAGGTGAGAAACACCCCGCAGTCCCCCCAATCACCTTTCATGTGGCCATGTATTTTCACCCAGGTAATACATCCTGCCCCTAGGTGACAGACACCCCCAATCCCCCATATCCCCTTTCATGTGGCCATGTAGATTCACCCAGGTAATAGATCCTGCTTCCAGGTGACAGACACCCCCCTCACCAGTACTCCCACTGCCCTTTGGGATCGTCCATGCAGATCTACCCAGGTAATACATCCTGCCCCCAGGTGACAGACACCCTACCCAATCCCACCCAGTGCCCTTTCAGGTGGTGATGTAGATTCACCCAGGTAATACACCCTGTCCCCAGGTGACAGACAACCCCAGTCCCCACTGCCCTTTCAGGTGGCGTATGTAGATCTACCCAGGTAATGCATCCTGCCCCCAGGTGACAGACAATCCCCAGTCCCCACTGCCCTTTCAGGTGCATGCGATGTAGATTCACCCAGGTAATACATCCTGCCACCAGGCGGCAGACACCCCCATCCCCCCAATCCTCTTTCAGATGACCATGTACATTCACCCAGGGAAAACATCCTGACCCCAGGTGACAGACACCCCTTCTTTAATCCCCCCCACTACCCTTTTAGGTGGCCATGTAGATCTACCCAGGTAATGCATCCTGAGCCCAGGTGACAGAAATCCACAATTCCCCCACTGCCATTTCAGATGACCATGTAGATTTACCCAGGTAATACATCTTGCTCCCAGGTGACAGACATTCCCAATCCCCCCACTGCCCTTTCAGGTGGCCATGCAGATCTACCCAGGTAATTCATCTTGCTCCCAGGTAACAGACATTCCCAGTCCCCCACTGCCCTTTCAGGTGGCCATGTAGATTCATCCAGGTAATACATCATGCTCCCAGGTAACAGACATTCCCAGTCCCCCACTGCCCTTTCATGTGGCCATGTAGATTCACCCAGGCAATACATCCTGACCCCAGGTGACAGACACCACCTCCTTAATCCCCCCACTGCCGTTTTGACCGCCTCCGTGGTGTAGTGGTTAGAGCGTCCGCCCGGAGAGCGGAAGGTTGCGGGTTCGATCAGATACTTCCTGTCCCCAGGTGACAGACGTCCCCCAGTCCCCCCTCTGCCCTTTTATGTGCCATGAAGATTCACCCAGGTAATACTTCCTGTCCCCAGGTGACAGACGCTCCCCCAGTCCCCCCACTGCCCTTTCATATGGCGATGTAGATTCATCCAGGTAATACTTCCTGTCCCTAGGTGACAGACGTCCCCCAGTCCCCCACTGCCCTTTCATGTGCCATGAAGATTCACCCAGGCAATACATCACCAGGCCAGACCGCGTGATACCAAAAGACATTAAAATATGGTACATGTTGGTCCCTGCCTGGCGCTTGGCATTAATGGGTACAACAAGGACTGGTCGGCTCGGATTCAGTATAATGTGACTGAGTGGGGTATTCATGCTTCACTGCGGCATGGTATCTAAGTGGGCTAGCTCTATAAAACCAGCTTAAGTCTGGGCTAGTACAAGCAGCCGCACATACACATACACACTCATGCACGTTGTCCTATGAGCGAAATATTCTCAAGCATGACGTTAAACCCAATTTCACCTCACCTCACCCCACTGCCCTTTCAGGTGGCCATGTAGATTCACCCAGGTAATACATCCTGCCCCCAAGTGACTGACACCCCTAAACCCACCCATCCCCCAAGTCCCCTTTCAGGTGGCCAGGTAGATTTACCCAGGTACTACATCATGCTCCCAGGTCACCAACACCCCTCTCTAATCCCCCACTGTCCTTTCAGATGACCATCCAGATGGCCCTGTATATTCACCCAGGTAATACATCCTGACCCCAGGTGACAAACACCCCTCACTCCCCCCAATCACCTTTAAGGTGGCCATGTAGATACACCCACTTAATACATCCTGCTCCCAGGTGACAGACACCCGCAGTCCCTCCACTGCCCTTTCAGGTGGCCATGTAGATTCACCCAGGTAATACATCCTGTGCCCAGTAGAGCTGGGATCCCCCCCCCCCCTAGGTCACGTGATTGTTTTTATTGATGACATCAGCTGGCAGACGAGAGAAGCAGGGGTAGATTTTGATTACAGGGTGTCTTCAAGTGTGGTTCTTGTAGCCTGAGGTTAAACAGCGTTAAAGGTATTGCCTTGAAAAGTGCAAGTGGTTGAATCAGCCATGTAGATTCACCCAGGTAATACATCCTGTGCCCAGTTGTCATACATCCCCGGGTCCCACTACTGCCCTTTGAGGTGGCCATGTAGATTCACCCAGGTAATACATCCTGTCCCCAGGTGACAGATATCCCCAAGTCCCTCCACTGCCCTTTCAGGTGACCATGTATATTCACCCAGGTAATACATCCTGCCCCCAAGTGACTGACACCCCTAAACCCACCCATCCCCCAAGTCCCCTTTCAGGTGGCCAGGTAGATTTACCCAGGTACTACATCATGCTCCCAGGTCACCAACACCCCTCTCTAATCCCCACTGTCCTTTCAGATGACCATCCAGATGGCCATGTAGATACACCCACTTAATACATCCTGACCCCAGGTGACAGACACCCCCAGTCCCTCCACTGCCCTTTCAGGTGGCCATGTAGATTCACCCAGGTAATACATCCTGTGCCCAGTTGTCATACATCCCCGGGTCCCACTACTGCCCTTTCAGGTGGCCATGTAGATTCACCCAGGTAATACATCCTGTCCCCAGGTGACAGATATCCCCAAGTCCCTCCACTGCCCTTTCAGGTGACCATGTATATTCACCCAGGTAATATATCCTGACCCCAGGTGAGAAACACCCCGCAGTCCCCCCAATCACCTTTCATGTGGCCATGTATTTTCACCCAGGTAATACATCCTGCCCCTAGGTGACAGACACCCCCAATCCCCCATATCCCCTTTCATGTGGCCATATAGATTCACCCAGGTAATAGATCCTGCTTCCAGGTGACAGACACCCCCTCACCAGTACTCCCACTGCCCTTTGGGATCGTCCATGCAGATCTACCCAGGTAATACATCCTGCCCCCAGGTGACAGACACCCCCTACCCAATCCCACCCAGTGCCCTTTCAGGTGGTGATGTAGATTCACCCAGGTAATACACCCTGTCCCCAGGTGACAGACAACCCCCAGTCCCCCACTGCCCTTTCAGGTGGCGATGTAGATCTACCCAGGTAATGCATCCTGCCCCCAGGTGACAGACAATCCCCAGTCCCCCACTGCCCTTTCAGGTGGCGATGTAGATTCACCCAGGTATTACATCCTGCCACCAGGCGGCAGACACCCCCATCCCCCCAATCCTCTTTCAGATGACCATGTACATTCACCCAGGGAAAACATCCTGACCCCAGGTGACAGACACCCCTTCTTTAATCCCCCCCCACTGCCCTTTTAGGTGGCCATGTAGATTCACCAAGGAAATGCATCCTGAGCCCAGGTGACAGAAATCCACAATTCCCCCACTGCCATTTCAGATGACCATGTAGATTTACCCAGGTAATACATCTTGCTCCCAGGTGACAGACATTCCCAATCCCCCCACTGCCCTTTCAGGTGGCCATGCAGATCTACCCAGGTAATTCATCCTGCTCCCAGGTAACAGACATTCCCAGTCCCCCACTGCCCTTTCAGGTGGCCATGTAGATTCATCCAGGTAATACATCATGCTCCCAGGTAACAGACATTCCCAGTCCCCCACTGCCCTTTCAGGTGGCCATGTAGATTCATCCAGGTAATACATCATGCTCCCAGGTAACAGACATTCCCAGTCCCCCACTGCCCTTTCATGTGGCCATGTAGATTCACCCAGGCAATACATCCTGACCCCAGGTGACAGACACCACCTCCTTAATCCCCCCACTGCCGTTTTGACCGCCTCCGTGGTGTAGTGGTTAGAGCGTCCGCCCGGAGAGCGGAAGTTTGCGCGTGTTCGATCAGATACTTCCTGTCCCCAGGTGACAGACGTCCCCCAGTCCCCCACTGCCCTTTCAGGTGGCGATGTAGATTCATCCAGGTAATACTTCCTGTCCCCAGTAGAGCTGGGACCTCCCCAGGTCACGTGATTGTTTTTATTGATGACATCAGCTGGCAGACGAGAGAAGCAGGGGTAGATTTTGATTACAGGGTGTCTTCAAGTGTGGTTCTTGTAGCCTGAGGTTAAACAGCGTTAAAGGTATTGCCTTGAAAAGTGCAAGTGGTTGAATCAGCTGTGTGTAGTGACTAGATACTACATAGCAAGATAGATTAACAGTCTTTAGGGGAGTTTACAGAGCTTAAAGTTTAGTGACCAGATCGAACATAGCATGAGAAGATTTGCATCACAGTGTTTCTTCAGTATCATAGCTTCAGGTAAAGGACTTGTTTTAGAAATGGTGAAGTAATTTTGTTGTCATGTGGTCAAATATATCTATTTAGAGGGACCCTCCAGGGTTTCACACAACACGTAAATGTGCGTCCAATAAGCACATATGTAAAGAATAGACGAAGAAAGACAGATGCCCCTCCCCCTTCAGATGACCGTGCTGATTCACTCAGGTGACACATGTACCCCCAAGATGACAGATCCCCCTGCCCCTTCAGGTGACACATCTACCCTCAAGATGACAGATCTCTCTCCCCCTTCAGGTGACAGTGCAGATTCACTCAGGTGAAACATCTACCCCCAAGATGACAGATCCCGCTCCCTCTTCAGGTAACACATCTACCCCCAAGATGACCGATCCCTTTCTCCTTTTAGGTGACACATCTACCCCGAAGATGGGAGATCCCCCTCCCCGTTCAGGTTACTCATCTACCCCCAAGATGAGAGATCCCCCCTCCTCCTTCAGGTGACACATCTACCCCGAAAGATGAAAGATCCCCCTCCCCCTTCAGGTGACACATCTACCCCCAAGATGACACATCCCCCCTCCCCCTTTCAGATGACCATGCAGATTCACTCTAGTGCCAAATCTTCCCTGTCCCCTGCCTTTTCTACTGAAGTGGTCATGTTGTGGTCATATAGAGGCAACCGCCTCCGTGGTGTAGCTGTAGTGGTTAGAGCGTCCGCCCGGAGAGCGGAAGGTCGCGGGTTCGATCCCCGACAGCGTCATACCAAAAGACGTTAAAATATGGTACTTGTTGGTCCCTGCCTGGCACTCGGCATTAATGGGTACAACAAGGACTGGTCGGCTCGGAGTCAGTATAATGTGTCTGAGTGGGGTATTCATGCTTCACTGCGGCATGGTATCTCAGTGGGCTAGCACTATAAAACCAGCTTCAGTCTGGGCTAGTACAAGCAGCCGCACATACACATACATACGCATGCACGTTGTCCTATGAGCGAAATATTCTCAAGCACGACGTTAAACCCAATTTCACCTCACCTCACCCCATATAGAGGCCAGATTCATGCTTGCATAGACAGATCTGGCTTACAGGGTGTCTTAAAGACACAAAGTTTGTATAACTGTATAACTGATTCTCTAAATGATTATTTCGCTCGCGAGTAGAAAATCCGGATTCAACACCCCCCAATATCAATATAAAGACAATCAATAGTCTATCAGAAATCAATCTTATTAATAGTGAAGTATATGATATCTTAATGAGTGTTAATACTGCGAAAGCAACCGCCCCGACGGCATTGGAAATAGAATTCTTAAATTAATCGCTGTCAGTATTTCACCCCTTTTAACGGGACTTTTTAATCTATCACTTCAACAACGAGTATTCCCGGCAGTTTGGAAAGAAGCAAGTGTTATACCAATTCACAAAATGGGAAGTGTAAATGATTGTACAAATTACAGACCAGTAGCCTTAACTAGTTGTGTATCTAAAATATTTGAGCGATGTATATTCAAACATGTTTTCAACTATCTCAGAGGCTATAACACCTTATCCAATTTACAGTCAGGTTTCATCCCAGGGGACTCTTGCGTGAATCAGTTGACATATTTGTATAATTTCATAGCCAAGGCAATGGACGAAGGTAAGGAAATACATGCAGTATTTTGCGATATCAGCAAAGCTTTTGATCGAGTATGGCACAAAGGTCTCATGCATAAGTTAAAATCATGTGGAATCGATGGTTCACTATTACAATGGTTTAAAAGTTATTTGGAATATCGATCCCAGCGTGTAGTCATAAATGGTTATAGTTCGAATATTAAACCGGTAAAAGCTGGCGTCCCGTTCTGTTCTAGGACCACTTCTGTTTTTGGTCTACATAAATGATATTGTTGAAGGCATTGACAGTAATATACGATTATTTGCAGATGATACTTCTATCTATGTAATAATAAATGACCCTTACGTAGCGGCGTTTAGTCTGAATAATGATCTACTAAAAATAGCAAACTGGGCAAAAACCTGGAAAATCGATTTCAACCCATCTAAAACTAAAACAGTCTTATTCAGTAGCAAAACAAATTCAAATCCTCATCCAAGCTTGTTTTTCAACGACGTTCGAATTGAAGAAACTTTGAGCCATAAACATTTAGGTATAACTCTTCAAAACGATTGTACATGGGATATACATATAAATGTTATCGTTAAGACAGTCAGCCCCATGATAAATTGCTTAAGAAGCCTTAAATATCGACTAACGAGAAACACCCTGAATCGTATGTATATTCAGGGTAGAGACTGCGATCTGGTAGAATCATAGATTCTACCAGTAGAGATTGCGATCGGGATCTCTACCTGTAGAGACTGTAAGTAAGGCAGGTCAGGTATTTAATCAGCACTGAGCAATTAACTGGCAAACATTAAACTTTGGGTGGCACTTTGTTGAGCATTTCATTCCTTGTTTTTTGCACCTACATCTGTTCGTTACACAGCTCCCCTTGCAAGAACATACAATTGATCCTCGTGTCCTACTTGCTGTCCAACCGTTATAACTGGCAAATAATAGGAAAACATTATCCCCACTTATTATACTTGCTTGCATAAGCTTGCACTTGCTTGCATAGGTTATTCCATATAATCGTAGTCTCTACCAGTAGAGACTACGATTGCAATCTGTACTAGTAGGATCAGAGATTTTACCAGTAGAGACTCCGATCGCAATCTCTACCCTGACATATACGTCGTTTATACTTCCAATCTTTGACTACTGTAGCCATATTTATGACATTTGTACCAAAACTCAAGCAACAATCTTGGAAAACATGCACTTAGACGCGTTACGTACGATATGTGGAGCTGTTCGCGGCACCAGTCACGATAAAATCTACGCTGAAACATCCTCTGTTTCTCTTCGCGAAGAAGAAGAATAGCTGAACTAATCACATTTTTCAAAATGTATCATAACAGATTTCCCCACCATCTAAACGAACTTGTCCCTCCCTTCATCTCTCAAGTCAGTAACTATCCATTACGTAACGCATCGCATTTGCAAACTATTGCCTGCCGTACTGCTCTATATGGTAATTCATTTCCTGTTTATGGAATGCTTTACCGCAAAATATTAAATCTCTTACAGACATCAATGATTTTAAATCTGCTTTAAGTCATAGAGCTAAAGACATTCATTTCGATCCAAATATAGGTTCAAGAGTTTGTCAAATCCCCCACTGTCGCTTAAGGTTAGGATGTAGCGATCTCAACGCTGACAAACACAACAGACATATATCAGAGAGAGCAGATTGTTTGTGTGGCCACCCTACTGAAGATGCACGTCATTATTTCTTTGTATGTCCCAGATTTGATGCTGTAAGAATAAATAAATTTTATTATACCAATGGCTTTTCATTAGAAACAATCTTATACGGAACGTCTTCCATGGACCCACAAATTCAATCATATATCTTAAAATCAGTCCATCTATTTATAATTGAAACTAGGCGCTTTAACTGAGCAAGTCATACACTAAAACCTATAATTCTCAAAGCTATACTACTATGGATCCCGACTGCAGATGCCATAAATGTATACAACCATCATGATTTTAATTTTCCGACTACATGTCATACCATCTACTTTCATTTTAGATATCATCTTTTCTTGTGATGATACTGTTTCGTATATCTATGAATATTGGAGCGGTCTTCATATAAGTTCTTTTGAGCTTGTTGACCAATCCAGTTCATGAAAATTCTGTCTTTGCTTTTCATGAAATAAATATGTTTAAACCAAGTTTGTATAGAGTCAAAGACGAAGCAACGACCACATTGGTCCATGAACACCTCGTGGCAAGAAAAGTTTTTAGAAATCTGCAAATTTGTATGGAAGATGCCTTTGTTGTCTAGAGTTTCTGGAGACTGTTTAGCAACTCTGGTTTGTACGAGATACAAAGTGTTGGGGCAATGGTGTCCATCTGCATACAGAGTGGATGTCTTCAGGGTGGTTTGCAGAGCTTCCAGTTTGTGGCAATCTTTTGAAATGGTTAAGTGGTTTAATAGCCTGTGTAGAGTGACTCATATACACATTATGTGGATACACATGGATTACAGTCTTGGAAGAGGGGTTGAAGGATGCTTTGTGTAGTCTCAGGTTGAGGAACTTCTCTAGAAATGGTCACAGTGAACCAGATTAGATACATCATAATATCGGCAGATTCTTATTCAGTGTTTTATGGGTGGTTTGTGTAGCATCAGGTTGCGATACTACTCAATAAATGGTTAAGTTGTTAAATAGACCAGATCAGATACATCATGATATGGGCAGATTCTAATTCAGTGTTTTATGGGTGGTTTGTGTAGCATCAGGTTGCGATACTTCCCTAGAAATGGTCAAGTGGTCAAATAGACCAGATCAGATACATCATGATATGGGCAGATTCTAATTCAGTGTTTTATGGGTGGTTTGTGTAGCATCAGGTTGCGATACTACCCTAGAAATGGTCAAGTGGTCAAATAGACCAGATCAGATACATCATGATATGGGCAGATTCTAATTCAGTGTTTTATGGGTGGTTTGTGTAGCATCAGGTTGTGATACTACCCTAGAAATGGTCAAGTGGTCAAATAGACCAGATCAGATACATCATGATATGGGCAGATTCTTATTCAGTGTTTTATGGGTGGTTTGTGTAGCATCAGGTTGCAATTATAGGCGTAAACATTACCTCTGGATTATGGTTGCCTTATTCCTGTGGATTCCACAGACACATGCAGAATGGAAATGAAATTTTTTAACTAAGTCATAGCTATCCCTAGTGGTATGCTTAAAAGAGTTATGCAGTTATCTCCCTTGGCTGTGATGTCACAACATATTTGTTGAAAACCTCTCATAATTTTTCTGTATGGACAACACAGAAGACGTGTTTACAGAGTGGAAGTGTTTTTAAAAAATTTCAATGAACTACAACCCGGTCAGTAGTGTCGCATTGGTTGATGTTTCTGACCATCGCATTCTATATTTTGTACATATTGCTTGCGTTTTATTCTACTTTATTGAACTCTATTTTTCCCGCCAAAAATGCACATGTCCCAAGCGCGGGTCCTCCCTCAAAATTTTCAAGAACTACAACCCGGTCAGTAGTGTCGCATTGGTTGATGTTTCTGACCATCGCATTCTATGTTTTGTACATATTGCTTGCGTTTTATGTTCCTTTATTGACCTCTGTTTTTCCCGCCAAAAAGCATATGTCACAAGCGCGTATCTGCACGTGTTTTGTCTGTGCCTCGTGGTTCACGGGTCCTCCCTCAAAATTTTCAAAGTAATACAAGACTCCCGGTCAGTAGTGTCGCATTGGTTGATGTTTCTGACCATCGCATTCTATATTTTGTACATATTGCTTGCGTTTTATGTTACTTTATTGAACTCTACTTTTCCCGCCAAAATGCTTATGTCACGAGCGCGTATCTTAAGATGTTCCTTGTGTCTATAACTTTCCGTGTAGTCCGTGT